ACGTGACAGTTCTACACCGCTGTGCGGAAACTCTGCTGAGCCGTGACGGAGAGGCGCTGCGGAAGTGTGCCGGGCAGCCATATATCGCTAATCGAGGTTCGTAAATCAATTAGCGGGAGTCACGGCTAACTACCAAATGTCACAACCCTGATTTAGCTCACAGAAAAAGGCAGCTACCTCAAGGTAAAAAATTTCCCTTTAAAGTTCCTGTGGATGAGAACATTTTCAGTTCAGAGATGCCGGACTGTTTGGTACTTTTTCACAGTTTGAACTATTGAGACAGATTCTTGCACCCTGTCACTGTGTTTGAAGTTGGTATTTTATGTTATTTGATAAGTTGGCGATCTATCCCTGGCCAGGAGCCCACAATCAGCAAAGTGCAAGGCTTAACTGGGATATCCTGTAAAAAAATCTCTTTCATAGAGAAATATATTGCCTTAAAAACTGAATATACCCTGTTAACTAATCTTGTAAAATGTCCTAATAATTGGAAACATATGTAGATGTTCAAATTTTGACTGAAAGGCACCTTAAGAAATGTCCTGGCAAAAAAATAAGTACACCTACTGTGTTTTGTGAACATTAATGGTAATTTATATTCAGGAGAATGTTTATATCTGTAACTACCTCCAAGATTCAAAAACGGTGTCTGTTGTGTATTCAGTGGTCTGTGTTTGCCTGAGCTTGAGTCTGGACTAAGGATTCTGAGCTCCTGTGCTCTGATATCCAATCACAGAACATTTCAGGATTTGGGCCTCTGCCATTGGCCCTTAAAGTATGAGTCATGATTTGCAGCTTGGAAGTTTAGACAGCCAATCACATGGGGGGTGGGAGTGGCCCAGGCCTTCAGAAATGAGAACCCACCAACACTTCAGTGTCTCTTAGATACTCCTTAGCTAAGACCCCTACTCTAAGGGAAAGAAGGGCCAAGCACTGGGAGATCCATAAGAAGATCTCCCGCATGGGGACTGGGTTTTTCCCCTCATGGCATCTTTCTGACCCATGTCTCTCACTTCTTTCTCTCTCAAACACAAACCAAAGAAGCACTTTTCTTTTGCTTAACAAACTTCATATACCACTTGATTGTAAGAAACCTCCAAGCAGTTCCCTCCTATCAAGGGAGCCGCTTCCCCTGACGCCCGATGTGTGCGATGGAAGTCAGGAAGCCACGTCACATGTTGACATCAGCCGGGTTCACTACACAATGTGCTGACGTGTCGCATGCATGCTGCATGGCATGTGCAAGTGAGGTGAAGCACAGTGACTGCAGAATTCTGAGGGGGCCTAGACCCCGCCTTGAAACTTTTTTTGGCGGGCTTGGTCCCTCAGCCCTCCCTAGATGGCACTCCTACCTCCTATTGAGGGAAACATACAAATAAAAACGGGCAATTTCTATGGGATTTTGACACTGGCTATAAGGCTACAAGCAGAGGGCACAGTCCCCTGAGAAGAAATGTGCCCGTCTCATGGACATGGACGTGAACCATGCAAGACCAGGGTGCCTGCAGTTCTTGTGCATGCCCCACAGAAATGTGCTAACAAAACAAGCTGGCTCATTTTTAAAAGCCACGTGCTTCAGAACTAGGCAAAATAAGCCAAATGTCACTTGTAGGAATGCTCAGGTGTCAGTCAGATGTGACACGCAAGCAAGATCTATCCACTGAGTTGCCACAAAATGAATTGCTATTGCATGTAATGCCATAATAATCAACATCCTATCACCAGGAATGCCATTTAAGGAGAGGTTTGGGCATTTCCCACCTCCACCCCCACCCTGTTTCATGCCACAAACGAGTATTTCTCTGGAACAGGAACACCTGTCTGTCCAACATCCTGACCAGACACTGCAAACTTGTTCCTGCAGAGTGTGTGCAGTGTAGTCTAAAGCAAAATGAACACCTCTAATCTGAGTAGATGAGCACCTCGCCAGCAGCACCTCCAGGGACTGAACTTCAGTTCTGCCAGTAGCTTCTGTGGCACAGCAACTGAAACACAACTTTTCCTGCTGCTCCTGCCGCTACCCTGCCTTGCCAGAGGTACTCTGGGAACAGCGTTAGCATTCTGCTATTATGTCCACAATAGCAGAATGACACCAGTGTCTCCATGAAAGTAGGAGGGCAGGTGCCTCAGCTCCACTCAGTGCCACTAGCAGAGCCTGTGGCTTCTAAACTATAATGAAGGAAGGGGGGGGAATGAAGAAGCCCACTACCTCTAATATTGGGAGCCCACTCCCCTAATGGTGTTCCCCTTCCTTCCTCTCCCCCTTCTTCTTTGAGGAATCATCTCCACATCCATTTGTCTACTGAAGGACCCATAAATCTCAGCTACAGAATTTCTGTGAAGATTAATCGCTAGGTATGTTCTCTCACACCTAAGAGCTGGAAACACGGACCGTCAGTTGCATATTGCCAGGAAAGACTGTTGTTGTTATCTGCCAATGGTATCTTCTAACACGTGGTTGGTTTCTGCTTCTCTTCCGCTCCCCAGGGGAGGATCTACTGCCTCTTCCAGTTGTGAGGAAGCGGCAGGTAAGGTGGCCTTGTCAAGGGAAATACAACAAACCAGATGGAGAGGAATTGGGGGTGATCTGGCCATCTCAACAAAATGTTTTTAGAAAAAAATGGAGAGCAGCAGTCATTCAAGACTTGGAAGGCTTTAAAAACAATATCTTACAGGTCATTAATAAATTATTGGAAATAGTGTTCTAAAGAAACAGAAACCTCTGCATTCAAATTTTTTATAGCCACTTATTTTCAAGGATGATATATTAAAATGTTTATTTTTAAGCTAACCTGATCTCACATTGTTACTGTCAGCCAGTAACTTGAACTCTGATGCAAATAGTGCATTTACACCAGTCTGCAGTAGAGTCAAGAAAAAACAACACTCCTCTGCTGAAATTCTACCCTCCATAATACCCCCCCCCCAATTTTAGAAGTTTGATTTCACTCAAAACAGAAGGCAAACCAAAGAAGCGGAGAGAAAAGGTAAAAGCTATTTTAAGAAGAGCTGGGTCAGATCCAAAGGGCTTTTCCGCATGCAGAAGGTGTCTTCTGCTCATGAAATGTTGTTTTACGCCAAACACTAACTTGTTTTTCCACTTGTGCAAGCTCTTCCATCGCCTCTCACACAAGTGGAAAAATGAATGCTGCTCAGTAATGTACCTGTTGTGTAAGGCTTTGTGAATTCTTCTGGAAGCTCTTGTGCAAGCCTTTGTGAAATGTGCCAGGGCTGCTAAGGTTTTGCTCAGAGTTCTTTGGCTCTTGTGGGCTTTAATGTTGGTACAGTCAGCATGTGACTTGTGAAGTGATGCTTTAAAAAAAAGCATACAGATTCACAAAACCTAGGTGTCAAGGGCAGAAAACATAAAGGAAAATCATGAGGCTAAGAACTGTGTGGACTATGTGGGGGATGGATGGGGGCAGGGACACTCAGAAAGCTGAGGTCTCCACTCAGCAACTAGTTCAAGCCGGGATAGGAGCAGCAATGCCGTGCGCTAGGTTTTGCGTCTTGATGCTCTGATCTCGCTGCCAAACAGGGGTTTATAAAGCACAGGCCTCTGGAGATTTCTCATACTTTCTGGCTTATTCTCTTGGTGTTCATCTTAACTGAAGTCAGCTGTTCCCCTTTCTCACTTATCCAGGGTTTAGCAGTGAAGTGTTTAGCATCTGGTCTGGCTATTATTATAAAGAGAGAACATCCTGCTCTGTTGGGAGAACACCATCATTGGCAGTAAAAGGACACAGACCCTTTGCAGCCGCCAGGATTCCCAAGACTGGCCTGCATTCAGGTCTCCCACTGGCTTCCCCTCAGCAGACCCAAGAGGCGAGAATTTCGTTTTACTTGCATTATTATGCCCTTTATTCAGATCTCAGACAACGAAAATGTGTAGTTAACATTCGTTTGCTACAGTATGATGAAATCAAGCAAACCAAGGACAGTAGAAGTTTGTTTTCTGTTTTTATTCCTGACCACTGCGGAAATGAAAAAGTAAACAAAGCTCATGCCTGCATCAGCGTCCGGCCTCTCTCTAAAAACAACCACCACGACCAAGGCCAGATTAAGAATGATGATACCAGCAGGCAAAGGCTGCAAGTCCCACTGAACAGCTGTGCAGGGTTGCCAACCTGAATGGGGGGGGGGAGGTAAGCTCTGCCCCACAGAATCGATCACATGACATAGCATACCGTTTGACTGCCCATCAATTTTATTGGGGGGGCCAAAGGGACCTTGTTGGCTCCTATGCATCTGGGTAGACATATGTAAGCTTGCACTACAAAAGTGGAGGCCACTTTTCCCCTTAAAGACCTGTTAGCCTCATAGAATCTGAGTAAAAGTAGTCAAAACAACAATAACTTTGTTTAAGCTTTTATTAAAATCTCATGATTTTGAAACCATTTCCACCTTTTAAAGGAAATGTCCTTAAAATAGTGTTTTTTGCTTTGCCTTGTACTTTCACAAGGACGAAATTAGCTTTCTCTTTGTATTATAACCTGGTTCCATGCACATTTACAGAGAAAAAGGTCCATCAGCTGAACTATATTCCTGGTTTAAGTGTTCATAAGATTGTAACCTAAGGAACTGAATGTTGCTTTAAGGGGGGGAAAGGTTGCTACCCTCAGCTGTAGGATTGTTACTTCCCCCTTATTCCTTTTAAGCACAGAATGATTAAGAAGGATTGCCTCTCCAGTCTAATTCTAATTCCTTCCTTTTATATAAGCAAGCACCCAATATCTGGACAGCAGTTTGGGCCCTTGAAGCTTCATGAGATGTGCACCATGCATCGGGATTAGTAGGGGTTTCATGCAACTGTGGTTAAAATTTTGGCAATCCTATTTTAAAATAGTAGCTTCTATCCTTCAAAAGCAGAAGGCACTCTCAGCCAAAGCGTGGTATGACATTTCAGAGCACACTGGCTCCAGTCAGCTCCAAGTCTATTTACAAATATAAACTAGATAATTATGGAGATGTGGCAGAAGACAAAGAAGCAGGGAACAACATTAACAAAAAAGCCATTTTATTGAAAATGAGATTCAAACCTCAAAATTAATATTACAATCATGAGAGAATGCCAAACAAATTCAATTTACAGTTGCAACATACAATACAAATAATCCCTTTGAAGATAAAGTAAACCCTTCCACAATCGCTGTCTGCAGCACAAAGAAGAATGTGTTTGTACAATATGTGCATAAAAAGCAAATCTTGGGCAACAGCAATTGGAGAAAAAAATGAAAGAAATTAAAGCTTGTATTTACAGGAAATGCTACAAATATCATTTTGTTCCAGCAGAAATTCAAGACTGGTAAAACATATTTAAGTAAAAATAATGTGGAATGTTGCTTAGTGTACCTATGAAACAAAAATTACCGTAAAGATATGGTCTCCGGCTGTTTTGTTTAAAAGAATTGCAACAAAAATAAAGCAAGTAATTAAATGTAAACAGGCAAAATGTCAGGTAGAACATGCTGAAATGAAATGTATCTCAGACTTTTAAGATATTAGAAAACTTGGTTTTCTTTTATCTTTCCACATTACTTGTATAGGTTTAAATTATTGCTTTTGTTCATGGCTTTTCTGTGATTCCTGATCAATTACTTCACCAGGACTCAAATGGCAGGCCCCAACAAAAAGATGGAGCAGTATTCCGGTAAACTAGACAGTGCAAAAGAGTCCCCTCTGGAACAAAGCGTGGGGAGGCAGAGTGGGCGAGGAGGACCAGGAAATCCATGCTCTGGGCAGGGCAGAAATAAATGGGGCACCTGCACCATTTCTAAGGGCTCTAAGGTGCTGGTGCCCAAGTAACTTTGGTTGCAATCCGACACACACTTACACTGAAGTAACTCCAACTTCACTCAATGCAGATTATGAGATCTAATCCCAACCCTTCGATCAGCCTCATCTAAGGAAGGAGTTTGGAATTAAATTCTTTATTTATCTTTGGTATACTCTTTGAAAAAGCTTTGCACAAGCAGTTTAATACAATGGACTCCACAAACTGGACCACCATTTCCACTTCTCAAAGAAGTAACTCCCATCCTTGAGATACTAAACACAGCCCAAAGGATCCCATGTTATGAATCGTCACACATTCCCATCCTGAATCACAAGAGAATGCAATTTGCAGGAGGGGTTTTGGGGGGTGGGGGGGTGAGATATTAAAATGTGTGATATACATGAATAATTGCCAGTTCAAAACAAATGCAGAGTTAGGAGCAAAGATCATTTTGAACTTATTTATTTGTTTTCTTATTTATATTGTGTCATCAAGGAATCAGGTACCATCCAAGACTGAATACGAAGTTCCCTGCTGAGAGCTTAGGTCTAAAAAAAGAAAAGCATACTAAATTAAAATGTGAGGGACCACAGAGAAGGGCCTTGTGCTTATCAAAGGTGCTTGTGAATATTTTCTGCTGCCACCCCTTCAATTATAATTAATTCAGACTTGTAAAATGAACCGTTTTTTTCTGTGCAGTCATAATCACAGGGCGTGAAATGGGCATATTTTGGGACAAACATAACTGCACACCTGAGTGACTTGGAGTTTCAATCCCAAATGATCCAGTTTTAAAACGTGATGATACAGAAATATTACTGTAGGTACAGAACAAAGCAGGAAAATGATCTGTGCTGGATTAAATCCAGGAATATAAATCAGTATTTTAATTGTACAAGAACATCTTTCTTGCTTTCTTGCTTTTAAAATGTCTTTGGGTTGCTGCCTGCAGCCCCTGTAACAACACAAAAATATCCCTACAAAATTACTTAAGATGCATATAGTAAATCTTTAAAAAAGCCCCCTTTCAGCAATAAAAATAATGTACAAATATAGTACCTTTATTAAATATACAACAGCTTTTGCACTGGAAGTTCATTTTCTTTTCTTTTTCTGGTTTAATAAATGACAACCAGAAACCCACAAAACTTGAAATGTGTAACCAGACACTGGCTCTTTTAAGTGCTGCTGAAATGAACAAACTTATCTTACAGATACAAATAAATTGACAAGGGTATGCTTCAAGCTACCACAAATAATAAATAGGATCAATAATAGCTCCCGTCTTTGAAGGAAAAGTACACATCAGGAAAGTGTCTCTAACTGACAAAAAGGGTACTTGATGTATAACCTTTAGAAGGTAAGTATTATTTTTTTCTAAATAGCAAATGATTCATACCAAATTTTCAGGAATAATCCAGGGGAATGTGGAGTCTCTCTAATGGGCTGCCTTAGCAATCAGCAGATGATGAGTCTGGTACTGTCCAATTATATTACGACCTTGCATAAGTATTTCACCATTTCTTATTGTTGGGTTGGCCAAAACGTAGCCCATACTTATCATTAGTTTCAGCAGCACTGCAGTCCAAAGAAAATTATGTTTGCTGAATGCAGTTGAGGCTAAAAGCAGTGCAAATGAAAGCATGGAAAAGGCTAGAGAGACAATGCATTCTGGAAAGCTGGCACTTCCTTTTAAAGGAGTCAAGCCGCAAATGGCTCTGCTTCATCCACAGTCCCACATCCTGCTTCAATTAAGCATGTGCATAAATCAGTTTCTGGAATCGAGTCCCAATCAAGGTGCCCAATGAGCTTACTGTCCTCTGAAGTTTAAATAAGAATTCTCCAAACACTTCAGAATGTGTTGGATCTCAGGCACTTGTCAAGTAGCTAATCCTGCTTGTCATTCTGGCAAAAAAAGAGTTTGGAAGTGATGGATGGATGATGAGTCCCAGGTGTAAATGGGAACATGGCCTTAAGAGGACTTTCATTATCCATATTCACGTTTGAACAATCAAATATTGATGCAAGCTGGTCCTGCTGAATTTAGATCTGCTTTGCAGTGGTTCATTTGTGCTTATTCTTTTGTAACCTGATGGTTAAAATATCAATTGATATACAGTATATGCATCATAACTAGTATTTGATACTAGATAAGACCCATAAGATTGGTCATTAATTTTGCTGGCATTTCATTTGGGATTTTATCCAGAATGCGTTGCCTGGGATCTAAGGCCGGAGTACAGGAGTAAGACATCTGGCAGCAGCCCTCACAAAACAACCCCCAGCCTTGGGGAGGGGCTGCAGCAGGGAGAGTGGAGACAAAGACCTTGCACATGAGAGCGCCACACACGGCGCATAGGACTTTGGTCCCCACCCATTCAATTTTGAGAAATGCTTTTCACTCATTCTGCTTCTCTTTCCAGTTCATTTCTGACAGATTAAAAAGGCAAAAGGCAACCAAATAACCAATAACATTTAAAACAGTATTTCCTTCATAAATTAAAACAATGTCCTATATCAAAGTTTCTTTGAGATGGAAGCATTTTTTTATATAAAAAAAATCACATTGCAGCTGGTTTATATTGGAACTGCCTTTCAGAGTTCAGGCATAGCCTTGAGATTTTGTACCGCTAAAAGTCTGTCAGTATTTTTTAAAAAACAAACATTTTTAGAGACCTAAGTCATCATATCATTACATTAAGAAAACTTTAAAGGGATCAAATATCATTAAATAATTATAAATATTTCTTTAAAATTATATGACAATTCATTTTTTTGCAAATAACCTCAATTTTTACATATTTATAACTTAATAAAATAAAACAAGATAGCCAGACACACATACTACCTAAACTGTTTTGGTTTGAGTAAGATATATTGCCATTATCTTTTGCTTCTTGCATAAGAAATTAGATTTCATTTTATTTTAGGGGGTCTCCCCCAATATATATATATTTTGGTTAACTGATCTAAGGCCAAAAAAAAAATCACATAAATGAATAGCACAAAGTAAACAAGGCTGCCTTAGTACCTTGTCGGCTGCTCTTTCAGTACAAAATAAGCCATGCATCTTAAAAGTTCTTTCATCTGCTGCAAGGCTTTGATAATATGGTTGAAGAGCTACTGTAATCAGAAGATATTTTGGTATAAATAGGAGCACAAACACAAGTAGTGATAAGCACTGTGCATGCATAGGGGCCCTGCATATTGTATGGTTGCAACTGTACCTGAATTGTTTTTGTTTGTTCCAAAAAAGAAAAAAGCACGGGCTTTGTCTTGAAAATTGGCAGGAGTCCATTTCTTCCCTCTTGGCAAAATAACTCACTAATTATTATTTTTAAAAATGTTTTACAAGAGTCTAGATATGGGCATCTTTCTGCACTGCAGTCAATATTTTTTAATATATAAAACTCAGACAAATGTTTCCAAGAGGAGAGTAAAATGTGCTTTGATCTACATTGATTGGAACTATGATGCTGAAAGGTCATTCTAACGTTGTATGCATGTACTAAGCTGTTATAACATCCCAGCTACACAGTTGTACATATCAAGAGAATCTATTCAAAGGAAAAGGGGGGGAAAAACAGGCACTTTATAATTAGCTGACTTTCTTTCTTTCTTTCTTTTTGGCTCACTGACTTTAGGCCGTGCAATAAACTTTCAGTATGGCCTCCAAACGGATTCATCCATTCTGCCACTAGAATTCAAGACTGTGGGGGAACTGCTGTGGCTTCCATCAGCCTCCACACCCTCATTCTGGTTAGGCAAGTTAGGGTTTAAGAGTGCGCTGCCGCCGTTGGAGGTGGTGGTACAGGGAGGCAGCATTCTGGAGGGGGAGCGATCTCCTCCTGGCACCATGGGGAACTGGTATGATCCTGACGATGTGCCGTAGTAGAGATAGGGAGTGCTGCTGGTCTGGAATGGTCCACTTTGATTTTGGGAGGAGCCTGGGTAAGGTGGTGGCAAGTAGGTGTGGTAATGAGTTGTGGATGACATACCCAATGACATGCCTGAGGTGACTGGCGGCGCATAAGTGAAGGTGCCTGGATAGTGCATTCGCGGGTTGGAGAAGCGGCTCTCAGTGAGGGATGAAAGGCTGGCAAACTGCCTGGGATCTGAAAATGGGCCCAGCTCGGAAGCACCTAAAAAATTATAACAAGACATGGGGGAAAGAAGGCTGTAAATATCCAATTTCTTTTGTTTTCCCTCTGAAAAGTGATGATATAACTTTTTTAAAAGAAAGAAAGAAAGAAACCCATTTCTATTCTTGTTCCCCACAAGAATAGCAAATCATTCTATAGAAGCACTACAAGGATCACTTAGCGCCTTTTATTTCCAATCTGTGGTCATGAGAGTCCACTGTGACCAAATAGAGGTGCTCTCCATGGACAGATTTTTAATATTTATCAATGTAGTAAATTTCCTTCCAAATTTCCTTCCACTACACTTCTGGTCAAAATCCACACAAACCTCAACAGTTATCCATGAGAAATCTTGCAAATACTGAGTTGGTACCTACCGCTGCTGCCTGTGGCACTCCCAGCCTTCCCCTGCTATAGACCTGGACTGCCCCAAAGTATTTTTATAAACAGACTGTGGTGTACAAGTCCATGTCATCCTCATATCTTAGCATTTATTATAGAGGGTAAACACAGTTTTGTCTGTGTGATGGAAACTGAGCATGAGTAAAGTAATTTTGGGCTCCTTTGAAATGGAAGGTTAAGTGCAATGGATATGGATTCTAGTTAGGAAACTGTCAGCGGCCGTTAGCAGGCCGTTAACAGGGTTAAAATTCGGTGAAAAACCACCATGGGTCATTTTATGTGATACAATGTGCAGATGTGATGTTTCTCATCCCTTAACCATAGTTAAAGGGTCAGAAAAGAGTCACGAGTCTGTGTGTTCTTTCCACGTTCATGCAGATATTCTCCTTTATTGTAGTTTGCTATTACGTGTGCCATCAACATTAACTATGGTTAACAGCAACCAGATTGCGGTAATCTAGCATTTTAAACCCAGGTTCAAATCTCGTTATGAAGTGAGGAGCACCTTGGTTTAGTCATAGTCAACAATGTAATGAACTGTGCTTAAGAGGGTGAAGGCTGGAAAGCTATCCAGGAGGGAGAATGTAGGGAGAAGGAACATAAGATCGTTGGCCCTCACACAGTGGAGGGGTAGAGCTTTATTTCTGTACTAGCCCACCATAGGAGAAAAACAAGGCCGAAAGGGCAAGAGGGCAAGTGTTTCATAAAAAACTATCAATATAGGTAAATTGTGTAGAAAATCACTGGCTAGTACCAATATCAAGAAGCTAGAACAGTGTTTCCCAACCTTGGGCCTCCAGCTGTTTTTGAACTACAATTCCCATCATCCCTGACCACTGGTCTTGCTAGCTAGGGATGATGGGAGTTGTAGTCCAAAAACAGCTGGAGGCCCAAGGTTGGGAAACACTGAGCTAGAAGAAGATTAAGAGAAAAATAAATTCAAATAGGCTATCTTTAAACTCTTGGTAAAAAAAAAAAGTATTTTTCAGGATACTTCAGGGTTATTTTCCCACCATCAAAATACAGTGGTGCCCCGCAAGACAAATGCCTCGCAAGACGGAAAACCCGCTAGACGAAAGGGTTTTCCGTTTTGGAGGTGCTTCGCAAAACGAATTTCCTATGGGCTTGCTTCGCAAGACGAAAATGTCTTGCGAGTTCCTGCAGGGTTTTTTCCCTTCCCCCCCCTTTTCCCAAGCCGCTAAGCCGCTTATCAGCTGATCCACTAAGCCGCTTAACAGCTGATCCACTAAGCCGCTTAACAGCTGATCCACTAAGCCGCTAAGCCGCTTAACAGCTGATCGCTAAGCCGCTTATCAGCTGATCTGCTAAACCGCTTAACAGCTGATCCGCTAAGCCGCTAAGCCGCTTATCAGCTGATCCGCTAAGCCGCTTATCAGCTGATCCGCTAAGCCCGCTAAGCCGCTAATAGCGCTAAGCCGCTAATGGGCTTGCTTCGCAAGACGAAAAAAACCGCAAGACGAAGAGACTCGCGGAACGGATTCTTTTCTCTTGCGAGGCACCACTGTAAAAAGGCAATGCAATATGTCTGATCAACCATCTCAGACACAAGTGTCCAACTTTGCAGCTAGGAAGGTGGAACTTTCAATTAGTCAAAGAATACAATGTCAATAATTCTTGGCTTCATGGAATAATTTACTGTGGTCAAATAAGAAGCAGTCATTCAGTCAGTCATTTTATCGGTTAACTGACTGCTATCCCAACTGTGGTAGGTTTCTCACTCAGCAAAATCTGAGGTATCCAAAACTAGTGCCGTCGAGTGAAAAGCGTTCTCAAGGTTCACTCCTTGTCTGCCACTGTGGTGGAAGCTGGAACATTTGAATGGCTTGTTAGGTAGAGCTGTCATGGGCAGTTATGTAGTGAGGACAGGCTAGGCTAGCAGACTAATCTAGTGGCTGCCCAGTCTAAATTCTTGCCTGGTCCTTAAACCTGGGGGCAGGAACACAGAGGATCAGACCGTATAGAAATGGTTTTCTTCAGGGGGTGGGGGAAATGGGTATTGAGGGTTAATTAGTTACAGGGGCATTCAAGTGAGGAATGCAGATGGGGAAATGGAACCCATATAGTGAGAATCAGTTTGGTAGAATCTGGATAGAAAATTACACTGGTTTGAGATCTGGGAGGAAAACTAGTATTTGAGGATAAATTAATTTAAGGGGTATGGATTAGGGTTTGAGGCTCGAATCTCAGCTCTGCACCATGTTTGCTTCTTGCCTTGTGTGGGTCATTTGTCATTCTGCCTCACTCGTTTTCTTTCTTCAAAATGCATGTTGTGGCAGCAAATGTGTGGTCAAATAAGGGTTTTTGTGTTTGTGGCTTTGATTCCACTTCTTTCTTGCACCTGTATACATGCAATTCAACATCCTACTACCAAGAGGGGCCAAAAGAGTGTTACAAGCAGGACAAAAGGGCAACAGCCCTCTCCCTTTGCAGATTCTGGTGTCCAGAAATAGGGTACATCCTCTGAAAGATGGAAGTTCCCATCTGATGGAAGGGGTTGAGAAGGGAGGGTTGGACAGGCAAGGAAGAGCTTTAGGTGGGTAGAGGCAAGGGAAAGGGAAATAAGAGCGGCATAGCAGAGTACTGCCCACTTTTTGAAGATTTGAGCCATCTTTGCTACCTGGCTACTTGCGGGAGAAACATCTAGTTCACAAACAGGTATTGTTTAATGCAGAAAACAGCAAGCAGTTCACCTCAGCAAACAGCAAACAGTCACCAAAACCTGAGGGTTTTGTGACTGTTCTTCCCAACGGCCTTGCTTGACAGTGGCATGAGATCATTACCAAGAGATATTGCCCTGAGAGTGGCAGCAGAGGATACATAGAGAACTATATCGTGGGACAATAATTAAATATAAATAGTAATAAAAAAATAATACTCTGATGCCTGCTGAAATAACTTTGCCATCAGACTTTAAATGCCAATCCAAATGTAAAGCCTACACTGCTTTCAATGTGTAATGATATCTCTCCATATTCTCTTTCACATCACCAGGATCCACATGAGACAGGAAAGGAGAGTCTCAAATGCTGATCCCAGTGACACACATGAAAAGTGTCCCGCCTCCTTTGACTTCTAAGCTACTGTAGGTGGTTTGCTGCTGCTTGGTTCTATAACGTCCTGGACATTCTGGTTTGGCCCAGCAAATACTTTAAGGCACTTAACCTTTTAGCAGACAAGAAGTAGGACTTCAACAGGCAAAATGGAAAATATACGTAGTCGTGTCATTAGCTACAGTGCATTTAGGAATAAGAAAATGGGCATCATCCAGTCTGAATCTGAAAATGCAGAGCCTGACCATGGCTTGAAACAACTTGTTCTGAAATTGATGTAAGATTCTAGGTTTTTCCTCCTTGTAGCTGGTCCTAATCTCTCCTCTATCCCTTCTGTGGCAAACCCTCTGCTGGGAAGGGACTTTCCCCTTCATCTCTGCCAGAGGCAATACCACCCAGAAACAAAGTTGTTATTTTAAAAGCAAAGCACATTGCTTCCTCCTTCATACTATGAAAAGGAAGTAATATTTATTGGGAAATTTAAAGTTAGTGAAAAGATTAATAGTGATCCATTTCTGCTTACATTACTGTTAAATTAATAAGGTAAGCAGAACAAGAATCACAATTTTCTCTTTTCTGCATCTGTTGAAATTATGCAGTAACTATAGCACATAGGTAGAGCATATGTTTTGCATGAAGGAGGAGTCTATAAAAGTTAGAAAGCAAAACACGGAGGCAGCACTATAAGGCTTCCTGGAGGAAGATATGAAGAAGCTGCTCTTGCAGAAGACACGTAACCACAGTTGCTAAGCCATCAGGATAAGGAATGCTGACCAACCCCACCTGGGACTCAGAAGGGAACTGGGGTATATTTGTTTAAGTACTTTTATCCATCTCCACATTATTTTATTTACTCCCCAAGTGTGCTGTCTTTATAGCATAAAACACAGTTGGCTAGCTTTGGTATGGTAAAAAGGTAAAGGACCCCTGGACTGTTAATTCCAGCCGATTTTGACTATGGGGTGCAGTGCTCAACTCCGCTTTCAGGCTGAGGGAGCCGACGTTTGTCCACAGCTAGCTTTCCGGGTCATGTGGCCAGCAGGACCAAACCACTTCTGGCGCAATGGAACACCATGACAGAAGCCCGAGTGCACAGAAATCCCATTTACCTTCCCGCCGCAGCGGTACCTATTTATCTACTCACACTGGTAAGTTGACAGGAGCTGGGACAAAGCAACAGGAGCTCACCTCATTGCACAGATTCAAAATGCTGACCTTGCAATCAGCAAGCCCAAGGGCCTGGTGGTTTTGACCACAGTATCACCTGCAACCCAGCAGGAATATTTTACTTGGAAGCAACTCATTTGAAATAAATGGGGCTTCCTTTCTACTGAGAAAATACAGTAATTTGCAATGCCCCCACCTCAGTTTTCCATATCCACCAAGCAGCCAGTACTAGTCTGCATTTAATCACTGAGCTGGTGAGTAATTAGTGAGAAAAAACTGAGGCTGCAATCCAGTGCACACCTACCTGAGTCTAAGCCTCACTGAACTTAATAGGGGTGGGAGGCTGCAGAAAGCAGTATG